CTCAGCCAGTGCTCCAGCCATGCCCTCTGACGTGTTTTGCCCTACAGGGCAAGAAAAAACACGTCAAAAGGAGTGGCTGGAGCAATGGCTGAGACCATCTCATACATTGGACTCTCTGGGCTGGTTTGAGTGGCGTCTGTTCCTTCAAAGAAATTACTGCGCCATAACCTGCGTAGCTGACCTACATTTCAGCTGGTAACGACACCTGGGGCATGTTCTTTGTCATTGGGAAAGAACATTTAACATCATTTCCTTAATAAGAAAATTAAATAAATCTCATTGAACTTATAATGTGTAGTTGACAGCAGAACTAGAAGAAAGCTTTGTAATGGAACTAGCAAGTGCATATCATACACATTGACATACAACATTGAACATTACGTATTTCATGACAGGTTACCTTTAAGTTGTTAATTAATAACTAATGCACCAGTTTAAAGCATTAAAACAATTTATTGTTAATAGTATTTGAGGATTTTTTGGGGAAACACTTTCCTATGAGAAAGCTGTTGCATCTATTATAGTCTGTCAACATTGCTTAGCTTCTTAAATGTATGATGCTAGTGTGGTTTGATGAAATGTGAATCTAGTCAGAAAAATTTTTGGTACATTGAGCAGAGCATAAATATGTCTCACTGATATATTTCACTGCTCTAATTTATTTGAAATGAACAATTTAAAGCAGACATGGCATGAAAAATGACTTAATGTGTAATGTGCATTGTTTTCTCTGCTTTGTAAAGCAATTTAAAAGTGTAAAAAATATTATTTGTGTTGTATAACGGTATGAGGATCCCAGGCCTGCCATTTATACAATGTTGATCTCAGCTGTGATTTTCTTGGCCTACTTTTCATGTGTGATGTCAGCATTCTCTCTTCTCTGAGCTCTGCTGCACAACTTAGTATTACCACCAGACATCAGAGGCATTTAGGAGAAATTTAATGCTACTTGTACTAGCACTAGTAATAACAAGGCTACTGAAAAATGGTAGCTATGAAATATCCATATACAATATATCAAGTACATAGAGAGTGCAGTCAATGGGGTTGATAAGGTAGAGGGTGTTCCCCTTAACAATGTGAATGTTCACTTTGAAAAGTTTATGAACTGTCCCCCCTCCCTCTTTTTTAAGGGGACAATAAAAATCGAAAGCCTAACTTCAGGTTTAATTTACCTTTAAATAGTCTGCTTGGGCTAAACAGATGCCTGGTCCAAACAAACTATTAAAAAGTTCATTAAAACTTGGAGTTAGACTTTAAATAGAAACCAGGAAAAAAATAAATAATGTGATGTTTTTTTTTCTAATATTCAAACCAGACATTTATTCAGGCATTCAGGCAGTCTGGGTGATAATGAAAGGGTGGGCAGAGAACATGTGCTTCTATCTCCCTTCCTGAACTGTGTGGTTTTGTGGGGGGACATATATGAATGTGGAAACTGCTTTTATAATAAGGGAAGGATCATTGCTCTTCCTTTTCTGGCCAAGCCGGCTTTATGCCTGCATAAGAGTCTAATTTGAATTTTATTGGCAACCCCACATTTTTTCCTTTTATTTTTTTAATTATATAATAAAATATTATTTTAAATGTTATTTTAAGGGATTATATAGTACTGTTCCTTAACTTCACTTGCAGCTGTAAGATATCCACTGAGTATTTTTTTTTTTACTGATTTGTGTATTTTTAATGCTGCCACATGAAAAGGCCCTATCCCCTCTGAACTGCATTTTTTTAAAATATTTTTAAATTTTGTATTTTGCATTGGTAAATGTCACTTTTTAAAAATAGCTTGCAAATTAGTTTTGAAAAAAGGACAGAAGAAAATAACATGATTCGACTCCGACTTTAATAGGGTTCACACCATATTCAGTATTGCTGGACTTCCCAGTGTGTTCACCAAATCTTCCATAACTGTTTCACTTATCTCTAATGATTGAGTGTTAAAACATACAGAACGTCACATTTATTCTCTTTGCAATGTGAACATATATATTTTGAAGTGAACATTTTGTTTGCTATATAAACAGCCTCCAGTCAATCCCAATGTGTGGATAAGCCAGTGGCACCAGCTTTGCTAGTATGATAGTTTACATTTAACTGAAATGTAACTCTTTGAGTAGACAGCAAATAGGATTTACAAATGTGGGGTAGGAACAAAAATCAAGAATAACCAGAAAACAAGAGTAGTGGTGCACAGCCTACGGTAGACAACGTATATTTCTGGCTGCTGTGTGTAGCTGCTGCACTTTTGCACCAGTTCTGGTAAATTGTCTTATTTTTGGTAGCACAATGTCTTTTTGTAAATGCCATAGAATCTTTCAGCGAATTTCCACCTAGTTTGAAATTATTAATTTTAAAAAAGAAGTTACATACTTCTCTCTGATGCATGCCCCAGCTAAGAAAACATGCATCTTCTAAAGCTGATATTTACACAAAATTGCAATTGAATTTTAGTGGATTGAGCCTTATGACTTATTAAGGAAAAAAAATGTTATTTTGGGGAGGTAAGATATATTTTACCCCCCTCAAATTATATTGTGAGTCTATTGTTATGTCTTGTTCAGATATGAGCTTTGGATTCATAGCTTGTAAGCCTTATTTGTCTAACAGGGCAAATCAAAGGGCAGCTGTCTACCCAATGTCTGCTGTTTACTTTGTCTACTGAATAATGCATTGACATAAAGCTTTGTACACATCAGATTTTAAAACAAGGATATACCTTCCTCAGGCCTGTGGTAAATATCCTAAGGAAAATGTTATGTCTGGTACAGAGAAAATACCATACAGCAATTTTAATTGAATGGCTTATGTGCTGGAGTATAGCAGTAGAAAAAGATTGTAAACACAAAGTAGGAGAGAAAATGCAACCAATGTCCCCACGGCACTTCAAACCTTGATCAGTGTCTTTCTTTATTAAAACCATAAAAAATTGTAAAATAGATACCTTATTTTTTCATAGCTATATGTGGTCACTTGACCACAAATCCTTCAAGACTTATCAAGTGACTGTCATGAAAACAGAAAGTGACATGCATCCAACTCACACTACAATGCCTAAGCCAAAGTGAAGCAAGGAGGAGGAGAAGAGCTTTCAGGGATGGTCCAGACTGAGCATTCCTCTAGAATCAAAGCACATGTCAGTGAGGTAGGGATGATTTTGGGTTCCAACAATGCTGTAGGATTATCTATTAGAATGGCAGCTGCATGGCAATGTCAGGCAGAGACTCCTACTAAAAAGGTAAACTAAAACATGAATATATTATGAATGCAAAGTGCAGATGCAGTGAAATTCATGCTTGCCTGGAGAGACACTTATAACTATATACACTGCATATAGTAAAACAATTCTAAAATGTTATATATACACTATATTCCCAAAAAATATTGGGACACATGCCTTTACATGCACATGAACTTTAACCACTTGCCCACCGGACACTTTCACCCTCTTCCTGCCCAGACCAATTTTCAGCTTTCAGTGCTGTTGCACTTTGAATGACAATTGTGCGGTCATGCAACACTGTACTCATATGAAATATTTATAATTTTTTTCACACAAATAGAGATTTCTTTTGGTGGTATTTAATCACCTCTGGGGGTTTTATTTTTTGCACTATTAACAAAAAATGAGCCAAAAATTACAAAAAAAAAAAAGTTTTCTTTGTTTCTATTATAACATTTTGCAAACAGGTAACGTTTCTCCTTCACTGATGTGCATTGATGAGGCTGAACTGATAGGCAGCACTGATGGGCAGCACTGATAGGTAGCACTGATGAGGTGGCACTGATGAGGTGGCACTTATGAGGCGGCACTGGAGGGCATTGATGAGGAAGCACTGATGATGCACTGATATGCAGCAATATTCAGCACTATAGGTGGCACTGATGGGCACTAATAGGCGGTACTGATGGGCACTGATAGGCGGCACTAATGGACAGCACTGATAGGCACTGACTGGTGGCACTGACTGATAGCACTAACTAGAGGCACTGACAGGTGGCACTGATGGCCACTGCTGGGCAGCACTGATGGGTGACACTGCTGGGCACTGATGGGCGGCACTGATAATCAGGACACTGATAATCAGTCAACTGATTATCAGTGCAGATCTCCCCTGTCACATTTGACAATTATCGGCAATACTTTCCTCACCGGCAACTGTATTTACTTTGTGATCTGCTGTGTCATTGGACACAGCTGATCACCTGGTAAAAGGCCGCTGTGATTGGCCTTTTACCTAATCACGTAATCGGCTGTGTCCGTAGGACACAATGATCAAGGACAGCACTGGTGCATGCCACTGGGGGTGTGCAGGGAGCACATTCTTGGAGTACGTCCATGACAACTGCCCTGTAGCCGTCTTTTGACTATAGCCCAGTTGGGAAGCAGTTAATGGCATTACAGTCTTAGTTTGTAGGGTTCAATATTTAGTTGTCCCATCCTTTGCAGCTTCAACTCTTCTGGGAAGACAGTCCACAAGGTTTAGGAGTGTGTCTATGGGAATGTTTGACCATTCTCCCAGAAACGTATCTGTGAGGTCAAGCACGGATTAGAAGGCCTGGCTCACAGTCTCCACTCTAATTCATCCCAAAGGTGTTCTATCAGGTTGAGGTCAGGACTCTGTGCAGGTCAGTCAAGTTCCTCCACAACAAACTCACTCATCCATGTCTTTATGAACCTTGCTTTGGGCACTGGTGCGCAGTCATGTTGGAACAGGAAGGGACCATCCCCAAACTGTTCCCACAAAGCTGAGAGCACAAAATTCTCCAAAATGTCTTGCTATGCTGGAGCCTTAAGAGTTTCCTTCACTAGAACTAAGGGGCCGAGCCCAACCCCTGAAAGTCAACCCCACACCATAATCCCCCCTCTACCAAACTTTACACTTGGCACAATGCAGGCTAGTATCATTCTCCTAGCAACCGTCAAAACCAGACACGTCCATCGGATTGCCAGACAGAGAAACATGATTAGTCACTCCAAAGAACATGTCTCAACTGCTCTAGAGTCCAGTGGTGGCGTGCTTTACTCCATTGCATCTAACGCTTTGCATTGCACTTGGTGATGTAAGGCTTGGATGGAGCTGCTCAGCCATGAAAACCCATTCCATGAAGCTCTCTATGCACTGTTGTGCTTATCTGAAGGCCACATGAAATTTGGAGGTCTTTAGCTATTGACTATGCAAACAGTTGGCGACTTCTGTGCACTATGTGCTGCAGCATGCGCTGACCCCGCTCTGTCATTTTAAGTGGCCTACCACTTGGTGGCTGAGTTGCTGTTGTTCCCAGTTGCTTCCACGTTGTTATAACACCACTAACAGTTGACCGTGGAATATTTAGTAGCAAGCAAATTTCACGGATGGACTTATTGCACAGGTGGCAACCTATCATGGTACCACACTTGAATTCACCAAGCACCTTAGAGTGACCCATTCTTTTACAAATGTTTGCAGAAGCAGTCTGCATGCCTAGGTGCTTGATTTTATACATCTGTGGCCATGGAGGTGATTGGAACACTTGAATCCAATGATTTGGAGGGGTGTCCCAAGACTTTTGGCAGTATAGTGTATTTCTGACAAGCAAGAAGAGTATGTTTTTTTTTAGTTTGCATATGACTTTTTCCAAATGTCTAGATCAGCTTTCCTCAATCTTTTTAACATGAAATAACTTCTTAGCTTTAGGGAACCCCTGCTATCATTATATTTACAGCTCACAGTACATTAGAGTGATGGTCAGTGTGAAGAATGCTCCTTACATTTGTGGTCTTTGGGAAGAACTCCCCCTTACAGATAGCTAAATAGATCATTGGTGTTAGGTGTTACCTATCTGAGAGGCAGAAATTGCTTATTACTCAAGGATCACCTGGTAACCTCTAGAGGAACCCTGGGGTTCCACAGAACTCTGGTTGAGAAATCCTGGTATAGATATATGTAATTTACAAATAATTACTCAAATATTGTATATAGTGACTTTGCAAAGGCACGAATCATTGGGGGCAGGCAAGTTTTCTGTCATATACAAGAAATGGAGACTCATAAATATGTACTTGATTTACAGAATATCATGTTGCTCATTATTTTTTCTAATCCAGGCCAGATTTTCTTACCTGTGATAGCTGCAAAAGTCTGTGTAATTAAGGTTGCTGAGAGCTTAGGTTTGGAGTTGTCAAGGTCTAGCCCACCAATTAATAGAGAGATTCCTGTATATGTTTAGCTATTACCTGATTTACTAGGATTTCTTTTCATTTTTGTTTATTTTACTATACAAGGGACACCTTAAAAAGACCAACATTCCCTAGCATAACCATTATATATTTCATATGTATATTTCATATTTACTATGTGAAGTCTGGGATTTTTTTTTACATTTTTTCCTACAACAGCACATTTTACCATATTACCCACTGAATCTTTTCAGATCCACTGTACCTATATATACTGTACGTCTTTACAAATATACTTTACATCCTAACTGTGAAAGAAAAAATAATAGCAATCACCATGATTTTATTTTCATTTTATCTGTTCTCTCGACTGACAAATTATATCATCAAAAGCTATTCCCATCATAAATTGGCAAATACAGCAGAAGTCAGTTGCTGCTTCTGTCTTATAGAGTAGGAAAGCCAATCTCACACTAATATTACTTAATAAACCTACATATTTAGCAGCTGTAGACATAAATTGGCTACATGCACCTTTGATCATGCTATTACGTTTTTTTTCCATAACTTTTAGACAAGTAATAGCTACGGAACAGCCTACACCATTCAGTTATTATAGGTTATGATGACTGCTGTATTTTCTGTACACTATAATTTAATCTGGTTGGGTTCAGAAGACATTTAACGATTTCTAACTGAGTTTTGCTCTCTAGTGTTCAGTGTGCCCAAATTGGACACTTCTTTAAAACCTCACAGATGTGAGTGAGAGAGTGAGAGAGCATGAGTAGTTCTTACTTTAGTAAATATGAACCTGATGGGGTAATGCTTTGGTTTTATATATATGTATACTGTATATATACATACATACGGTATATGTATTGCATATATTTGTCCCTGAGAGACAATGTACTTGGGATTCTGGGTTGAAATAAAAATAATTTGGACAAAAAAATTAGAATTCCACTTTCTCTAGTGGTTAGCATCAAAGTAGTCTTTCCCTATATTGTTTATTTATTCTAAGAAGAGTTGCACCGTACATATATACACAGACCACTCACTGCTGGGTATTTTTCCATAATCAGTCTATGTAAACAGCCTGAAAGCTCTCAGTTAGCTCCAAAGCCGCTGCTCTGAGTGTGCATTCATACACAAAACTGTGGCTCGGCCTCACCCCCTCTCTATCCCTCATTGGATCACTGGCTGTGTTTAACAGCAGCAGGAGCTAATGGCTCCCACAGCTGTCCCAGCCAATGAGGAGGGAGATCTCCTGGAGAGCTGAGGCTCTCATGAACATTGCTGGATCAAGATACGGCTCAGGTAAGTATTGAGGGGGCATGGGGGGGCTGCTGCACACAGAATTTTTTTTCTACCTTAATCCATTCTATGCCTTAAGCCTTTCCAACAACTTTAAAGCGTGTTAAAGTTCTTATTTATTTAGCTGGGAGAGTGTAAAGTGAATGTCATAGTGGAATTTTTAAGCTATACAAAATATTAACACTTTTCTTTTGTCGTGTTATCATGTCATCATTCGGTGGTATGTTTGGCATGACACTAACTCTAGTCAGAAAATATGGTACTTTCTTCACTATGGTAATATGTTACCATTCTAGGTACCATAGGTTTGCTAATGAGCTAATCTAACCACCCTGGTGTAGGGATTGGTTAGTGCCCACCTCTTCCCCTATATCACATGAAATACTGAATATGTTTTTAATATTGAAGCACAGGGCAGAAAAGTGATAGAAAAGGTATCACAACACTGATTTGTATTATAAAATGTGTGTTTAGAATAGGGTTTTTTTTCAGTGGGAATGTGGGGGAACGCAGTTTCCACACCACCATCACTGAATACATGTGCTGTAATGGCAAGGGGTGCTGAGGTGTGCTGGAGGATCTATTTTTGCTGGGAGGGAGCCAATTGTTGTTGGAAGGGATCTACTGTTGAGGGAGGGGTCTACTGTTGTTGGCTGCTGGAAGGTCTATTGATGCTGGGAGATATATTGTTGCTGACGGGAGTCTATTGTTGCTGTAGTGGATCTATTTTTGCTGGAGGGTATTTTGTTGTGGGGAGGGTCTATTAATCAAAAATTGCTTAGCCCCACAAAATTATACTTGGTCCTGTATTCTATAAAAGGGTAGGGGGTGGAACCAAGGGACAGTGCTTTGATGGTGGTAGGAGCGGAGACAAGAGATGACTCATTTCCTGTTTTCATCTTACAGTCAATAGGATGTTTCCACTGTGTTGATTTCTGTGCTGTTAATAGTAATTCTCATCCACCCTGCCCCTCCACCCCCCATCTGTAATATTCCAGTTTGGCAGCGTTCAATTCAACTAGAGGACTGTCATAGGCTCTCATCAAGAGAGCTTGACTATGCCTGCCCTTTCTACTCAACACTGCCATTCATAGACGTCTTACTACAACATCTATGAATAAAATTGGATCTATGTATGGAGGAGCTGAACTACTAATCATATGCCCATCCTCCATTCTTAGATCCTGTTCCAGTCATAGATGCTGTAGTATGGCTGCAGGATGGAGGAGATTTACTATTAACAGCAGAGGAATCATTACAAGGGACACATCCTACTGACTGTAAGGTATTCTTTAATAGAACTATTTGTATTATAGCAAGGGTCGGCAACCCATCGATCGAGATCAGCCGGTTGACTACGTGGAGCCAACAGGTCAATCGTGAACGCAGTTCTGCCTCCCCCCAGCCTCCGCCACTATCATGCTACAGGCAGAGTAGAGAGCAGGAGGCAGCATAGTACTGATGGAAGGCGGGGTCTGGGATAGAAGCTGGTCAGTGATTGGTTGCTAGGCTGTCCTAGCAACCAATAACCAGCTTGGAAGCTGCTGCTCCTGTTTTCTACCCAGCACTGTGTTGTCTTCTGATCTCCGCTCTGTTCTACACATGCTGACATGTAGGCAGTGCTACCTGTGTTAGTGTGATATGAAGGGGACACAGTAGACACTGTTGGGGGGGGACTTATGAGACACTGTGGGAGGGGGGTTTAGGAGGCACTGTGGGAGGGGGGACACAGGTGTCTCCGTTGGAAGGGGGCTTAGGAGACTCTGTGGGAGGGGAGACACAGGAGACACTGTGGGAGGGGGTCCTTAGAAGACACAGTGGGAGGGGAGACACAGGAAATACTGTGGGAGGGGGGACACAGGAGACTCTGTGGGAGGGGGAGCTTAGGAGACTCTTTGGGAAGGAGGGTTAGGAGACACTGTGGGAGGGGGGACAGAGTAAACTACAATGGGTGGGTATTTTGATGAGAAAAAGACAGGGGACACTGCTTTGGGGGATGGGGAGGCAGAGGACACTTTGGGGGGGGGGGGGGCAGAAAACACTGCTATGGGGCAGGGTAGAGGACACTACACAGTGGGGTGGAGGGGGGTGATGTGAAGGGGGTCACTGGTTTGGAGGGGTACAGGATACTACTGGGGGAAGTGGGCAGAGGATACGACAGTGGGTGGATGTGGTGTGAAGGTGGGCAGAGGACACTACTTTAGAGGGGTACAGGACACTACTGTGGGGGGAGGAGGCAAAGGACACAGCATTGGAGGTATAGGACACTATATGGGTAGAAGAGGGGCAGAGGACACTAATATGGGGGGGTGACTTTTTTTTTTAAGGGCACTGCCTAGAAGAACCCCCCCCCCCCAGGGGATCTTTGCTTTACTTAATGTTGTCCAGGTAGACCTCAACCTCTGAAAGGTTGCCTACCACTATATTATAGTGTATATATATTTGAGTAGGGTCGGGGGTTTTCTGGAGATTTTGCTTAGGATGCAAATAACCTCCCTCTTAGATTGTAAGCTCTAATAGGCAGGGCTATCTGAATCCTCCTGTTTTCATTTATATTATAATTGTACTGTCTGCCCTTATGTTGTAAAGTGCTGAGTAAACTGTTGACGCTATATAAATCCTGTAAAATAATAATAACCTAAGGCCAGTCCTGCATGGGCAACAGTATGTAAACTGATGAATCATTTAGCATCTAGTGGTTTTTCTAATCCTTTTGTTGCTATTAGTGAATCCATCTAATGCTATATACTGTATATAGAGGCAGAAATGGAGGTAGTCATATTTCAGTTCAGGATTTTTTTCTTATTCATGGCAAGTTTACTGGTAATGACTAGTAATACTGAAGTCTATGTGTATTTCCACAAATCCAAGCCATATTCTTCATTTTGACAACTTTATATATGCTACGATTGTCTCGAGAGCTTGAATTGTTACCTACATTGACATAAGGCAATGACATAATTCAAGGACTCATTTAACTAAGGAATATGGCTGACAGATACAACAGAAGATGATGAATAATACTGTACCTATATCACTTATTTTGAATGAAGACACAGAACCTGTGTGAATTTGATGTCCCTTGTTACTTGTTTCAGTTTAATTGGCAGATTGTTGATGTTTGTTTGCTGAATTTATAACACCTGCATGTGTGACTGCCTTCTCTTCAGCTCTCACATCAGATTAATCCCTTAAAATCTTTTGTAAACACCATTCATAGAAAGAATTCTCTAAACTATACAATCAGTATTTTTTCATCATTGTGAAATTAAAATGTATAACTCGGTAGCATCAAGCGATGCATGTACTGCCATTTCAACTACATAATGCACAAAGCGTATTTTAGACAGAAACTCCCATGCAGTGTACTGCCGCAGTGTATCAAGAGAATCAACTCACATAGGCAGAAAACTGAGCTTAATATCAATAAAAGCATCATACATCGTCTTGTATATTGGTTCCAATATTGTCAGCAGCGCTTTGCTGAATCGCTGCAGACTTATTTGTCTTTCGAGATGCACATACAAAAGTCAATGAAAATGTGATTTGCAAACACCCTTCTGGTTTTTAGGACATTTCATTTCCAACTCCAGAGAGGAATTGAAAAGCAGATTTAGCATAATGTTGGTATTCTGTGAAGCACATCGGCTGCTGTAGGTTGACTTAACAAGTGAGGGAAGCAGACTGTATCTTGAGATTTCTGAGCACAAGGCTTTAAAGCTTATTTATATTCTGTTATTATTTCACATGCAATTGGAACTTTAGAACAAGTTACTGGTTGTAATTAATCAAACTAATTAAAAGGGGTATTGTGACGAATTTTAAAAGACAGCAGGGTTTAATATACAATAAACTGTGTGCATTTGTTAGTACCATGACCTAAATGTGTGTATACATACACACACACTTATACTGTATATATATATATAATATATATATATGTTGTGAGAACTAGCATCAAGGGTACAGCTTTAAAGTATACCGCCACTCGCTTTTTTGTTTTTAAGGGACGTTTTTGCCCAATTTTATTTAAAAGAAAGTTCCATAAATAGATATCCCTCACAGGGGTTTTCAGCATTTTTAGTCTTCCAAACACAGAATTTTAGCCTCCTGGCTTATACATACAAACCTGCTGCTCTGGCCTTCCACTTCAGGCTCATGTCTGTCTGCCGGGGTGGAGCCCTGAACCATGGTTAGTCCTCCACAAATAGGCCTGCACACACCTGTGTAAGAAGTACTCTGGACTGGATATTTTCGAAAACAATGAGGAAACTGAAAAGCCAGTTTCCTCTGCATTAGGCAAACCCCCCTGGAGCCCCTCAACCTGCCTGGATGAGAATCCTGGGTTATAGCCCTCATTTAGACCCTGGCAGGGTACCACACTTCCACAATATATACACTCACCGGCCACTTTACTAGGTACACCTTGCTAGTACCGAGTTGGACCCCCTTTTGTCTTCAAAGCTACCTTAATTCTTCGTGGCATAGATTCAACAAGGTGTTGGAAACTTTCCTCTGAGATTTTGTTCCATATTGACATGAGTTACTGTTGCCTTTCTATCATCTCGTACTAGTCAGCCCATTCTCCTCTGACTTTCTCCTCAACAAGGCATTTTCATCCACTCAACTGCCACTCACTGGATATTTTCTCTTATTCAAACCATTCTTTGAAAAATCTAGAGATGGTTGTGAGTGAGTAGATCAGCAGTTTTTTGAAATACTTAGTCCAGCCCATCTGGTATCAACAACCATTTTCAAAGTCACTTAAATCCCCTTTCTTCCCTATTCTGATGCTCGGTTTGAACTTCAGCAAGTCGTTGCCACCATGTCTAGATGCCTAAATATGTTGAGTTGCTGTCATGTGATTGGCTGATCAGCAATTTGTGTTACCATGTCATTGAACAGTTGTACCTAATAAAGTGGCCAGTGAGTATATATATATATATATATATATATATTTTTTTTTTTTTTTTCAGCAGGATTAGGGTAGGTTTAAGAGTCTAAGCACTGTTGTCCACTGTGCCAAACACCCCCTGTCACTTTTCTTACTCCCCCCACCATGACTCAACCTGGCTTCTATGCACCAATCTACTTAATTCTTACCGCTATGCTATTTTTAACTGGCTTGGCAAAGGAAATTGGGGTGTTCATGTGATCATATTTGTAAAGCCCATGACTGTGGTCTCTGGGGAAGGATCCAACTCAGTATGGAGTAAGTAGGGTTGATTTATTAAAAGAATTGAGGCTGATCATTTTGATACGTTAACATTCAATTTGAAATGTAAATGTTAGTAAATAATATGAACCTGTGTTCTATTTGAATCCACAATCATGTGCAGGGGATACAAAAACACTATTTATGCCAGCACTTTATTGGCTGATTGACTTGAATACAGCTTTACTTTATTTACTAAGCTCAGTAGACATTCACTTAGGAAAGTCAACAGCCTCTACTATATTGTCTCCCAAGAAGAGAGAATATTGTTCCAACAACCTCTTAAGTATACCAATGTATGAAAAGCTTGATTAAAATTTACAATACAGAATATATGTAACAATAATTTTGTATATTCTATTATATATCTACTTGTATATGTTCCTCTACTTCTTGGGTCACAGGTACAGAGCTTACACTTGTCTAATGGGAAACTTAAAGGATAAGTTCACCTTTGGTACATGTTACATGTTCCCCCCATTTTAGGGTGTCTGAATATCTGCTTGACCGCACATCCCGTATGGCTAGCAGATATTCTGACAGGTCTGCAGGAGACCTGCATGGCATCAGCAATCTACTGATCACTGGTGAAATGCTTTACAGGCTCCTTTGGACCAAAAAAATACCTGCAAAAAAAGTGTATTTATTATCTTTGTCCAAAAGGTGAACTTATCCTTTAAAATTAAGGCCAGGTTCATACTATAGTGGACAGTTACCGCAGCGCTTTACCTCTCCAGAAGCCTTCTGTAGGGGGTAGTGTGGTGTGCAATTCAGCACATCATACGGACCCTTTTTTTAGTTTTGTATAAACTTTATTTGAACTGTACAAAACGTAAATTCATGGCACTGTACAGGAGCATGATGTGTTGCACTGCTATACAGTACCATGGGATTCTGTACGCCTGCATTTCTTCGCAGTATGCTTCAGCGCAGTCCTAGGCTGAATTGCAGTGTGAATGGGATACATAGGAAACAATTGTTTCCTGTGTTTCCTTGCAGTGAGAGATGTTTGGCATTGCAGTAAAACATCTGTCACTGCACACTGTGCGAATAAGCCCTTTCACAATTACAGTTTTTCTCAAAACATGGACTGATGCAAAAATCAAGCAATTGTAAAAATGCAGACTTCTTTTTTTGCATACTGTAATTGTATAGTTTCAGTCACATTTTCAGATTGTTTAGAAAAAAAGAGATTCCTTTCTGGAAATCCTCAAATATACTCTTTACACATGCTCACGCTGATAACCAGTGATGCGCCCATTGATAAAATCATAAAATGATTCACGTTTATAATACATATAAACTAATATCTTTTTTATTTAGTGCTTGTGTTATTACATGTGATAATAGTTTCCTGCTGTATCTTCGCATCACCTGCAATTTAAAACTAGTGGCAGCTCACAGCCAGTAATACATAACTCCAGCTGATTACATGTGTGATCCAAGCTGGCAATGACACGCAAGAAAGAACTGGTATTATTATTCTACATGATTGCTACGACAAGGCAGCTGTGCTATTCTAAAAACCATAAAGGTTTTGTTCACTGAAAATGCTTATATTAAGTAAAATGTAAGCCCAAACCATGAACCTCTTTTATTTGCTTCCTTTTGCTCTGTTAAATATAGAACAAACATTTTGCTATTTCTCTTCAATAAGTGCAGAAATTGCCTGTTGATCCTGACAGAAATATTTTGAGCTGATGACTTCCTGTGCTCTCTGCCTCTGATGAATGTGCTGTATTCAGTTAGCAGATCTCTCTTTGTGGACTACAGAACAACCCCCTCTATGTTATGGGGATGAGAAGAAGGGGAAGTATGTCATGAGCTAGCAACGTACGCCAACAAAGTGAGTAGGTCTGGATCATATTTTATAAAAATGTTGAAAATCATAGTATGTGTACGATTCATTCAGGGCACAGGTATTTAAAATATTCATAACATTTAACAGTACAGGATTGAGGGTAGGCCAAATGTTTAACCTCCTTAGTGGTCTGATCATGTCCATATTTCTGTGCTCAAAGTGGTAAATTTTTTTGCATGGAAATATGTATTTTGTTTATTGTAGGCCTGTAATTTTTAGGAATAACTCACTGAAATCTGTCCGAACAAGAGTCTAGTAAACATCCCGGGTATGATAAAATTTGAAACACGAAATCATAAATTATAATTTAATAAATAATCATAAAAAATAATAATATAATAATACATTTAATTCAATAATATAATCAAACCAAAAACACTGAAATTTGAAATATAGCGCCAAGTTCGCACATCACTGAGTAAAGTCGCAAAATCGTTTTCAGTGTCTGATCACAAATTTTTCCCCACGAATCATTATCACTCAATTCTGCAAGTGGTTCTGATTCACTATCGCTGTTCTCTAGCTGGTCTAAAACCGCTTTTTGACCTAAAGGGATGCTTTTTGGATGCCATGGACGTTTCTCAGTTTGCAGGCAGAAAGAACAGTAAAAATGCAGGCAGGGCACAGGACAAAGCACTAGGGACAAAATGTCTGTGAAATGGTTTGATACAGTAATGTTTTACTGTGTGATTTTAGTGAATGTCACTTTTTGTCATTTTCAAATTTCCCGCCGTTCCGTCCCCCCCGTACGTTCCGATGCTCGCAGGGGACGGAACCCAGATGACAGATTCCGGCGTCCGCTGGATTACTTTGCTGGGGACAATGCAGGAGGGACATCGCGGGAGCGCAGGGTGAGTTAAGTGATCGAGGGATCGCAGAGCAACGCTGCAGGGTAGTCCCGAGTGTAGCTCTGGGTTACCCCTTGTGCTACTGAAATTTTACCCCGAGCTACAATTGGGAATACCGCCAGGGAGGTTAATCTGTACACCTTCACAGCAGGGATCCTTTTAGATCTTGGATGTATTCTCACTGGACACAGTCTATGAGGTTGATTTACTAAAACTGGAGAGTGCAAAATCTGGTGTAGCTGTGCATGGTAGCCAATCAGCTTTTAACTACAACTTGTTCAATTAAGCTTTAACCAAAAAAAAAAAAAAATGAAAACTGATTGGTTTCTATGCAGAACTGCATCAGGTTTTGCACTCTCCAATTTTAGTAAATCAACTCCTATGTGTTTGCGTCCAAAATTAACAAAGACTAGGTCTACAGTTTTCACCTAGTCTCTGAAATGAATGTGTACAATAACCTCCCTGGCGGTATGATTATTTCAGATTTTTTGGTGCTGAAGCAGCGGTACCATTTTTTTGCATGGAAATATGTATTTTTTTTATTGTAGGCTGTAATTTTTTAGGAAAAAACTCACTGAAATCTGTCCGAACAAGAGTCTAGTAAACATCCCGGGTATGATAAAATTTGAAACACAAAATCATAAATTATAATTTAATAAATAATCATAAAAATAATATAAAAATAATAAAAAATTTAATTCAATAATATAATCAAACCAAAAACACTGAAATGTGAAATAGAGCGCCAAGTTCGCACATTGCTGAGCTCAGTCGCAAAATCGTTTTCAGTGTCTGATGACGAATTTCCCCCACGAATCATTATCACTCAATTCTGCAAGTGGTTCTGATTTACTATCGCTGTTCTCTAGCTGATCTAAACCGCTTTTGACCTAAAGGGACACTTTTTGGATCGTCATGGACATTTCTCAGTTTCCAGGCAGAAAGAACAGACAAAATGCAGGCAGGGCGCAGGACAAAGCACTAGGGACAATATGTATGTGAAATTGGTTGAGACAGCAATGTTTTACTAGGTAAAATGTAAAAAAAAAAAAAATGACATTTTTTAAAATTTTTAAATTTTCCCGCCGCCGGCGGCTGCGGCGCCCGTACGTCCCGACGTCACAGGGACAGGACACAGAAGCCGGATGTCAGCATCGGCCGGAGGAGATGGCCGGGGACGCTGCAGGGGACACATCGCGGGAGCGCAGGGTAAGGTAAGTGAAGAACACTTGCCGGAGCAGTGCCTCAGGGTAAGCCCGAGTGTAGCTCGGGGTTACCGCTTTGGTACTGAAATGTTACCCCGAGCTACACTCGGGAATACCGCCAGGGAGGTTAAATATAAAATGAATAAGCTGTTTTTTGGTTGCTCCAAGGACTGCAAGAATATGAGTGGGTATTAGTACTAACTCTTTAAAGTGTTACTAAACAACAGTAAAAATCAGTCTGTATATGCAGTACAGCATGCTTGTTATACTCACTGTGGAACCTAAAGGGGTTAATCCTTCGCACTGTGTAAAAAGGATGTTTGATCCTGTATTCTCTGCCCCTACTCTTGTTGAAATGACAACCTGATACAGACTGAATCTGTGGTCACATACAGATGCTCAATTTGGTGTGTGTATTGCTAGAGAGGTTTTTTCTTTCTTTGGAGAGTGCATGTGATCAGCACAGGGTCAATCAGACAGAGGTTCAGGGGTTTCACATCTTCCCTAGAGCAGAAAGAAAACTCCTCCTACAAGCTTTAACCAGTGCTCTGCTGAAGTCACAAAGACTGCTCTAACTGCTGAGGAGAAAAGGTATTTAGTAATTTATATTTACTAAAATAATTGCATTTCCATGTTGTGTATATTGTGGGAGACCAGATATAGTGAATGCAGGGTCCTTGGTTTATGTTTCCATATTTTTATTACATTTTTCAAAGAAAAACAAGGAAGTGCGATATGGTTCATTCATACAGTATTACATTAGACGATATATAGTTAAACATTTTTGTTGTTGTTCCACCCAATGGTAGGTGGGAGGTGTAGATCTTGTTTAGCAATATCATCAGAGGTATTCATATATAGGTATGAGGAACCTTGGTGGGGAGTTGGGTTGTTAGGGGGGTTTTGGTAGGGGGGTGCGGGAGGGAGAGGATTGGGGGAGGAGGGATATAACTGGGTAATTGAGTAAATGCCAGTCTTGGTTTGGGCAGTAATTCAACTAATAAAGTGTCATCAGGATTGTACAGAACATTTTAATTGTGGATAGTTTTTCCATTTCACATTGGGTGTTAAGGTCTGTAATTAATAAAGTGATTGACGTGGTATTATTTGTTCTGATAGTATTTTTCCCCAGTTGGTTAGGGAGGTTGTTTGTAGAGTAAATTGTAAGTTTATGAGATATGTATAAAAGGTAGATATACCTTTGCCTGGGTATTGAGGTTTGGTGAAGAATATGAAGGCTGTAATTGGTATCATAATGGTGTGGGGTAAGACAGATGTTTGTAGACAGTGAGCAATTCTTAGGTATGTAAAGTTTTCAGTAGTAGGGAGATTATATTTGGTTTGGAGAATTTGGAAGGGGCATATAGATTGATTGGTATAGAGGTCTGTTATATTGGTTATCCCTTGTTTTGTCCATTGCAATAAGTCTAGCGAGGGAATGAGAAGGTGTAGTATATTGGTTGGAGTAGGTATATGTTTGACGTCTTTAAATTTAGTGGAAAGGAGGTCCCGCCAAGCTTATAGGGATGCTTGAATGCAGGGGTGTTTTAGTTGGGGTTCGTTTGGTCGGTGGAGTCAGGATTATATTGTGGCGCTTAAGTGGTTGAAAAGGGAGGGTTTCCATTATGGACCAAATTTTTTCTTTCGATGGGTTCTACCAGAAATATAATTGGTCTAAAAGAGTGGCTGTGTAATATGACTTGAGTTGTAGGAGTCCTGCTCCTCCTTTAGCTGTAGGGCGTATTAAGGGTTGGTGGTACATCTTGTTTTTTTCGAGTTCCATAGGAACTTTGTGAGGATTGTTTGTAGGCTAGAAAAGAATGAGTTAGGGATTGGTATGGGAAGTGTGCGAATATGTATAAGATTTTGGGTAAGATGTACATTTTCAGAGTCGCCACACGGACAAGTTTGGAGAGTTCTGAAGTGCGTAAAATGTTTAGTTCTCGGGGATAGTTTCAAGCAAAATTTTATGATTTGCTGTGTATAGTGGGTCTGTCGTCGGTGTGAGTCTGATTCCTAAGTAAGGAATGTTGTTCGTTTTCCATAAAAAGGGAATTGTTTGGCTAGTTGGGTTTTGAGTTGGGATGAGATGTGAAGGTAAAGTATGGAAGATTTGGGTTCGTTAAGTTTGTAATATGAGACTGTTGAGTAGGTATATACAGTAGGTGTGCACAAATCATTTTGAGCGATTTTTTTGGGGTTGGTCACCATTAATATATTATCGTCCGCAAATAGGCTAATTTTGTTTTCCATGTTGAGGTGTGGGTTCCTGTAAATGAACGGTCCGCTCTGAGTTTGGATGCTAGGGGTTCAATAAGGAGTGTAAAAATTATCGAGGAGAGTTGGCTGCCTTGTCTTGTACCATTTGAGATGTCAAAGGGGTCAGATAATGTGCCATCTGTCAGTACTCTAGTGGATCGTGTGTGATTATAATGACAAGATGGTGTTCAGCAATCCAACCTGTGATGCTGAATTTTTGAAGAGTGAGTTGCATGAATTGCGAATGTATCCGGTCGAATGCTTTCTCTGTGTCTAGAGATAGTAATAAGGAGGGACTCTTGGTACTTTCTAGGTTGTGTAGGAGGGAGATAATTCTTCTGGTAGCATCGGTGCTTGCGACCTGAGATGAAACCTACCTGGTCTGCGTGAATAAGGCGGGAGGTAGGGGAGAATTCTTTGGATATGATTTTCGTGTATAGTTTTATGTCGGTATTGAGTAACGAAATTGGCCTGTAGTTTTGGACAAGTTTGGGGGTCTTTGCCAGGTTTTCTTGGTATAGTCGTTATGCGGATTGCAACATGTCTTTGGGGAATAAGCCCGTGGTGGCGGCATGATTGAAGAGTTTGGTCAGGTGTGGTGATAAGTCTGTGTAGAGAGATGTTTATAGTATTCGTAGTGTATCCTCATTTCCTGGTTGATTTGTTAATTTGGAGTGTTTAAAATGGTCATATCTAGAGATGAGCGAATTATTCAAAAATTCGATTCGGCTTGATTCCCCGAGTCGTGGAATAAATTCGATTCGAGCGAATATATTCGCTGCGAATATTAACGTGTAAAAAAGGGTGTTTCTAGGCTTCTGCAGAGCCTTTATATTAGTGCAGAACACTGACTCTTTAATTTAAATGCCCTTGGAGTCTGCTGGTGAAGAGAAATAATACTTCAGTCAGTATGACATGCAGATTGAGTGACGTCGATCTAGAATCACCGCACACTTCACTCCATCTTGGGCATCACGGGGCAAAACCAAGTGTGGAGCCACAGTGGGGCGGTGGAAGCAGCAGAATGGAGGCCCTACAGCACCCCTGACAAAAATGGAACCCACCAGCAGTGTGAGGAGACCTGAAAGGGTTTGCAAACCCGCTGAACCATGTTTGAGGAGCCGGGACAGGGGCCCTGAAACGTAGGAGGCAGCAAGGTGACCAGACGAAGAGGCACATGGCGAGGGTGGCGGGTAGCAGCATTTTCTGAAGCCTACACGGGCCCAGGTTAAAAAACGGGGAAACCGTCGCAGCGTGAGCGACACAGGGCAATGGGGCAGGGTGGCGGTGGTGCGCGTATTTGGGGAAGCCAAAAACAGGCTCGGTTAAAAAGCGGAAGCCGTCAAGCTGGCAGACGAAGAGGGACATGGCGCGGGGGCGGTGGAGGCAGCAGCAATGGAAAGGGCCCTACACACCCCATAAAAAGGAACCCACCAACGGTAAGGGACCTGAAAAGTGGACATGGCAGAGTCTGGCGATGAATCGCAGCAAAATGGGAGGCCGTTTTCAGGGGGCCCATGACACACTCTGGACCCGGCAGCAGCAAGAGGAGGGGGTACAGGGGCCCATGGGGAGTGGAGAAGCGAAACACTTAAATTGAAGGGCCCTACAGGGCCTTGTTAAAAATAATAAATGTTTTTGGGGATGATTCATGGCGGATTTTAGTCAGTTGGTCAGGAATTTGGGGGGTTTTAAAAACCAGACAAAACCCCGCCTGATTCATTTTTACAAAGTGAGCTCTCCCCATTTGGGTGGACGTTGTGTCCTCCCCGGAGTTCAATACCCCCCTCCGACTAAACACGGCTCCGTCCCCGTACTGGCCGGGGGATGAAAGCCTTTCAAGGGGGGAAATTCGCAGTTGGGGCCAAAAGGGAAATTTCGTTTTCCCCGTAGTCAAGGGGATTGTCTACGGTTGGCAGGGGTGTCCCAAATAGGGGCCCCAGCTGTTGTTTTAGGTCCCGCTCCAGTCCACCCGATGCTGCTGCGTTGGGGTGGTTAGTGTTTCCTCACCGTGGTGAAGAAACTAATCATCATCG